TTATCAGTTACTGATTTTTATAACTTCAACAAATTATAAGTTTTATCTTTATCATCGATATAAACTTATTAACACAATGATTCAAACTATCAAAACAAATGTCTCCCCCAAAACCACTTTTATTCTATCACCGTATAAACAGTATTCAACAAAGGGTGCTCTCCTGCTAAAACGCAATAAATTCTTCAGTATAACATAAACTTTAAACACAGTCCGTCACCGCTTCTATATACATATAAAACCTCTATTTTTAAACTCTATTGCACAGAGAGTTTACATAAACACTACAGCAGATTTATCGATTTTCGCCTAAACAGCATTTTACACTGCTACATTTTACCAACAGATGAAAAATGGTTTAAGGTTTAAAAAAAAAATTTTATCAAAGTTTAACAAACAATATTTAGCCAGGAAGATTCCAACTTAAAGAGAATATCCCGGACGAGCCCCCAAAATTTGACAGGAGAAATGACTGCCTTGATGTTATTTAATCTAAGACAAGATTTAGTAATAAATACTAGAACCAATTTCCAAGATATGGAGGCTGGGCAGCACCGCCTGACATAAAATTGAAATATTCTCAGTTGAAAAACTAGCATGTAATTGTTTAGTTAACACTATTTTTTTTAGGGTATTTTTATCTTTTCTATCTCAAATCAATATATACACTTAAACAACAAACTTCTGATCATTATTTACACCCAAAACAAAGAACTTTGATCATTTATTTACACCCAAAACAAACACACGTCATTTATCAGCCACTTATTACGAAATATCTTTTCACGTATACGTCTCTTATACGAAACAATACTAGACACCCTGGCGAGCCCAAGCTCTAAACAACTTATGATCAAACAAAACAATAAAATCTCCACAAAATGAAGAAGACCGAAAATGACTATTTTTGCAACTCTAAGATACCGTATAAACCACAAACATTCATCCAACAATATTAACTTCACAAAATCTAATCAGCATCAGAAAAGCAAATTAAAGCAAAAATCACCCCAATATTTACATATATCCTCAAAACAAAGCATCAACTAATATAATCTTGACCAGACAAACACTCAACCAATATCAACCAATTATATCTTCACAAACAGATATAACTCAACAACCAAAACAACTAATACAACCAATTTAAACCCTGATCAATTAAGATCACCACAATTATATTCAATCACTTCAACAAACCAACAAAACTCCCTACAAAACAACAAAATTCTCTTCTCCATAAAAAAATAACCGCCTACACACTATCAGCGTGTCTCTCCTAACTGATGTAAAATCTCTCTCAAAACGCGCATATTTTGCTAGCTTAAACGAATCCTGAAACCTTTAAACATGTATACATACAGCGAACTGGTTTAAAACATGATATTTACACTCTATTTGAAACAATGTATCACTGTAAAGAAATATTAACTCATTGTTTCATCTACAACAATATATCACTGTAGGGAAATATTAACTCGTTGTAAGATACATATCTACATATAAACATGATTATTCTGACAGTAGAATAAGAATGTAATAAGTTAGTTCTGCGTTTGTCTTTTCCGTACAACACAACAATAGCGATAAGCCCAATATGTGTATTTGACGTCTTTCCGTCTTTTCCTTTCTATGGCCTTTTTAGCCTATTTAATATCAACGCACAGTCCCCACAGGTTTTTTTATATTACGAGACTCGAAATAATTTTTCGGGATAAATTTCTATTTGATGAAGGTCAAGACAAATAACTTGTGACCAAAACTTCAGATCATTTGCTCGTTCCTATTTTTTTTTCTTCTTTTGTTTTCTCAAATGATTATTTTAATTGTGAAAAATGATCCAAATTGAAAGGCGTTGCAACGCTTTTCACTCAAATCAGACACAATAGCACCAAATACTTTTTTTATTATATTCTGTGTATTATTATTAAATATCTTTTGCATATTTCTCTTTTTTATATGTCCCAGTTCATCCATGTAAGAAATTCAAATTTTATGTTTTACGACCTTTGGGCCTCAGTGGAGTTTCTTTAAGAACAAAGCAATAAAACTAGTATTAATGTAAAATAGACAAAAAAGCAAACAAGGATATTGTTTAAATATTTTTTTAAGGTTTGCTCATAATTGTCATTTAAGATTTTGGTAAATTCTCAAAAAAAAATAAAATCGTTAAGTCTTAAAATTGTGTTAACTTTCTTGTACATTTAAATTTGTATCTGTTTGTTACATATATTTGATGAGCTGTTTTTTTCTCGTTAATTAGTTAATTAGGTTTATATTAATATAAAATTATGTTTTCAAATGAATAAAGAATTAAAATTAAATAAATAAGTAGGTAACTTTTTAAAATCAGAATATTCTATTTATTAACCTTATTAACCTTGTTACTAAATACTTTACTTAGTACTTAATATTTTATATAATATTAGTTTGTCTCCAATTCGGTACACTACTACATGTATATCTTTACATGGAAAGTCATAGAAATACATATGAGTGTGTGGATTAGTTGGAAATCAGTAATCTGTTCTACAAAGAAAGATAATAAATTTTGATTATTAAAGGTGTTTGTCCAAATATATAGGTGTATTGTATCGGTCAACAATTCGCCAGAATAGAGAGTGATAATAATTATACTATACACTATCTGTTAAATTCATGCGTGATGTATTTGTGTTTAAAATGATTATTTAAAATATATAATTATTTACTGCACATAAGACAGACTTCCTTAAACATATAAACAGAAATGATCTTATTTGAAATTCTACTAAATACACTCACTACTTAAACCTTTTAGTCAACTTATTTGACCAATTAGTGATAAATGACCATTATAAATTGTATTTATAAAATAGAAATATTTGTTAAATCTTTGTTATTCGTATTATATAGAATTTATGATAAGTTATATCAACAACGTTATATGTTTTATGAACGAATTACTTTATATTTAACCTTCATTTTTCGTCATATTAAACTAGGACAGAGTTGAACCAAGTTAAGATAAATATAAATTTCTTAAGATTACTAACAAATTAAATACTTCATTAAATTTAATATTTTGTTTCTTTTAAAGGCGCATTTTAAGTCTCAGAAATGAAAAATATTTTCTTCTGTCAAAAGGGGGAAACATGTGTTTTTAATAATTTCAAATTATATAACATTGTAATAATGTATTTATAACATTTGAGATGCTTTCTCCTGACGAAAAAAAGCGAAACAAAAGCAAAAGTGAAGTTATTTGTGATAAAGTAATCACACGTAAACAAACAGGTATTTTGACTTCTATCAGTATGACAATACTTTCTGCCAAAACGCAAAAAGAAGATTACTCAGCCAACCAAGGACACCAAGAAAAAAATGGAGTTAACATTTGCCTTTCATTCACTAGCAATACTGATGTTTAATTACAAACAAGTATTAAATTTTAGATTGTCATTAACATATACAACAAAACTTTAAATATAGGCTTTAAAAATGTTTGATATTGTGTGAATACTAATGCTGTTTTATCATTGCTCACCATGTGCAATGTAAATAATTGAAAGAGAATCAAAATATGAGAACATGAGGCAATCTGATTTGTTCTGATTTATTCTTTATCCTTTGTATTATTTCTAAAATAAAAACACGTTCCCTGTCATTACAATAAACCCCAGAAAAATGGAAGAGCATCTTAATATGACTTTTATTTCATTTTCCTTTTCTCTGTCGTCACGATAAGTAACCCAAAGAGAAAAATTAGCTTAACATGTTCTATTTAATTTCGGTAACTGGGGTGCGGGTAACTAATACCTGTACTCCAGTTAACGAACTATGCAAACTCTGACACGTTTTCAAAAGAAGTCTCCAAACTATGATACAATTATTTTATCTACGCGTAACAGACCACTTGACATCACCTCAACATTGCGTACAATCAAGATAGCGCGATGTTATTGAGTTTGACATTTTGGTCCTAGTACAGATGAAGTAATTTCAGTTTTAAATATTCATTTGTAAAGTTTAAATGCTTCTTATTACACAGTTTTGTGTTATAAAAGCACTAATGGGATGGTGCTATTACACTCAAGAAAGCGGTAAACATAGGTAAACAATCACATAGATTAAGTTATGCACAAGTGTAGATTCTTGTTTGCAGTGTGATAAACTGAAAGATTATATTTTTTTATTTTGTAGTTTAAAACCAGATTTTATACATATAATGAGATAACACGGCATCTAATGGAAATAAATTAAAATATTGAGTTTTATTCACTCATAAGATGAAATACACCTCAGTTCAATCATGATTTCAAACATTCGAGCTATCATTTTAGCATATTTGACATGTTATATATTCATAATAAACTATATATCATGAAATTATCAAACATTCTTTAGCACAGCAACTCGTCAAATTAAGCATTTAACAGTTGCTGTGTACTAACCAAAATGAACAGTTTTGTAATCTTTTTGAAATCTTTATAACACATCACCAGTTGTTACAAACGCCCACATTAAAGACCTACTAGTCGCCAGAAATGTTGATATTTTATTTTCAAAAGCACTTCATTTTTTGTGCTCTGTAAAATACTTTCTGTTGCTTTGTTGCATTTAGTACATGTATAACAATTTTAGTTTAGTGTATGACTTTGTTTTCATTTTTGTACTCTAACGACAAAATTTCACATTCAACGTTACTTTCTGCATTTGATAAGATGTTATGTCTTTTGTTTTTATTGACTTCAACGGATCTAGAGTACCTATCCTTTACAGAATTTTATCATAAAAATCAACAGTAAATGTCTGTAATTGAGAGAATATAATTTTTTGCTATTTGAATATAATCACGTCAAACATGTTACCCATGCAGGGTTATTTACATCTGTTTTGACCTTATTCAAATCATCTGACGCTGATGTGATAATAATATCTATATAACTGTTTACTTACCACTTGGTTGACTCGATTATCTTTAACCTGTAGATATATAAGATAATTTAAGATTACAAAACTTTTAAAAGCTTCATTACAAGACATTTTAGTATTCGTTGGTAGTCGGCGAAGACAGTAACTTGGGCAAAACTGAGATAAATTCGATTGAAGAAAACAAGGGATCGACAAGGTGCACTCTTTAATTGACATGTTAGATTTTTATTTCACCTTCTTTACTTTTCATATAAATAATTGCTTTATCTGAATCGATTTGAATTACATAGTTTTTTTCTTCATTTTTTTAATAAATTAGATATAATAAAAGTTATGGGAAACTATGTTCGGACTTTAGGCCTTCAATCTAAGCAAATTCATAACAATAGCAGTTTTATCAACATGTTCCAACTTGTATTAAATAGTTTACATTTTTTAATTTCTTCAGACTATTTATGTTATAATGGTATTTATTTTAACTAGTTTCAATTATTTATCTCATTTCCTATTAATCTTGATCAAATTAGTATTTCTGATCGAATCATAGAGATTATTTTGTATTGCAGGCAAATATGTTCTACAATCTAGCAAAACTGACGCTTATCACTTTAGTTTCCAACTACATCCACGCATATGAATTTAAGATAAATCTTCCAGATAGTGCGCAGTCTGAAATTGAAACATGCATTCAAAGGTCTAGAGTAAGTTTAACTATATGTATCGATATTTATTTATCACAAAAAGTAGTTTCAATCTGTTTTGACATTTTTAAATAAGTAATGAATAGTTAAAAAATTAAAACATTTAACTAATGCGGACAATGCACAGTGTGAAATTGCTTGCTTTGTTCATAAACAATTATCTCCTTTAATCTAATCTTATAGTAGTCATTAAATTTATCATTTTTATTAACATTACTTTAAAGTATTGTTTCTATGTATCAAATTATTTTCATATCAATCAATATTTTAAAGATGTCGCCGGCAATAGATTGGCAAGCAGACTTGGCTTGTGGCCATGCATATTTCAATCATCTTGGGCCAAACAATCTAACGGATGGTGATTGGGCAATTTTCAAAGAAGCGGAGAATGACAGGTTCTCGTAATATTCCATAACTATTCTAGAATTAGTAATTTTACTTCACTTTATATTATAGGTTATTCGTATACTTTGTGAAAAGTATAGGTCATTCTGACAACTGGAAACTACAATCTGCTTGATAGCATTTTTACATTAAAGTAGCAGAATTCATTTCATACGAGAAATAACTATAAGTTATAAGTATTAAGTTTTGGCTTGAGCTCTATTGCATCGTGAGTTTACCCAAACCACTTTCAAGTGCGCTTCCTGTGTCACATGGTGTGTACCCCAGTAAAGCGAGAACCAATCATTCCTTGATTAAAAGGCAAATACATTAACAACTAGCCCGTCTGTCTCCGCCCCCCCCCCTCTTTCTCTCTTCCTCTATGTGTGTACTATTTGTGTTGATGTGTTGATATGTTGATATGTTAATTATTTATGATTATTGAATACCTTGATGAATGAAATATTTAGCATTATATGTGTTATCTTTGATGTGTTGTCTTAAGTTGACTCTACTGAGTTTTTTTAACATGACGGGACTGGAAATATTTTTCCGAATTTTATGTACCATTTGATGAATATCTGGACCAATAGTTAACATTCAGATTGTTCCCTCACTCTGTTTTTCCAAAATGAACATTTGTGCAAATGACCCTAGAATGAGAAGAATAGCAACACCTTTCACCCAAATTGTGCTTACAATCAGCGCTGTTCAATTTAATTTTAAGACAATTTCTTTAATTTTCATTTGTAAATTTTTCAATTTTTAGGTGCTTTCATTTGATCTGTGTAAACATTATTTTTTATGTTTTAAGTCTTTCAGCTTCATTCGTAAAATAAAGAGTTTATTATCATTATTAGTATTATTATTTTATTATTATTATTATAATTTATTTATTTTTTAGTTTCGGCCACACTGCTCCATCCTTTGGCATAAGCATAAGACGAGAAATTCGCACATTATCTGATGAGGAATGGAAAAACGTGACAGATGTTTTCAGAGAATTATACGAAGTAAGTCTATTTCCAAAGTTATTTATCTCATAAGTAAAACCCGAATATTGCCCCCCATGTATAAATTTTCCCTTTAAAACTCCATTTTTTGCGAACAAAAGCCCGGAAAGCCTTACCCCAAAGCCTAAATTTTCGACATCCAGCCGCGGATGATTAATGCTCCCAAAAGATTTTAAAATATGGAAAAAACAAATGGGGCCCAAACATGAAAAAAAGTCATTTGCTAAATGTATTTACACTCGTCAGTAGACTTTAATTACACAAACTCGTAAATATGCATTTACGTAACATTAACAAAATTAACAGCAAAACATAAAAACATTTAAGACTTTCAGAGCATAATATTTTACTTCTGAAATCAACATTGTTCACAGTTTCATCATTACACTATTTAATAACAAGTAGGCCAATAAAGCATAAAGACTATAAAACGTTTAAATGAATTCTATTTTACAGTTTTCATTATATGCCGTCATATCTAGATATTTTACTATAATAGCATTTAAATGTGATGCGTTGTTAAGTCTTATTTGAACTTAGATACGTCACAATTTGCTCAAATATCTTATTGGAACTATAGGACTTTCTCCGTATAAGTAATTTTCAAAACTTGAACGATCTTTTTCTTTATAGATATGATACAGAACTTGAACACAATGTATGTCATTCAAAGTATGTTTTTGGTGAATCTCTAACATAGGTGTATATAGTTTTAAAGGGTTTTAAGCAATCTTATTTTAAAAACATTTCATACTTCTTTTGTAATGTAGCTCATAACATATTTTAAGGATAAGCTAAATATGTAAGTTGATTTGTGCTGCTTGTGTGAAATCATAGTTTATTTTCATTTTGCATTTTAATACTGTAAGTCTGTAACCACCTATCCCTTCTTTGCAGGCAGGAGTTCTTCAGGCATTTGGACGTTTGCATGGAAAAGCAAAATTAAAAGCTCATAAGGGGGGTGCGTTTTTACCATGGCATCGGGTTTTCCTTGCACAGTAAGTAACCAGGGCGACTGCTTTGAATAGTTTTAAAGTAACTACAAGTACTACTCATAAATATAAAAGGTACTTTAACATTGTTCATATTGCTTTATGAAGACCAGGTGGACTTCAGACGATATGAACATCCAATATCAAAAAAACGAGAGGATGCATTTCTCAAGATAAAAATATAATTTTATGACGTATCAATGAATACTTATATCATTTAAAAACCTTAAGACAATGATATAATGGTATCATCAATTTATATAAGGTATATTACGACAAATTGCAACCTTTATTTTGTCTTCCAAAATCATGATGGAGAATCCTTTTTGATAATTTTATAATTTTATTGCATATTTTGACGATATTTTAGCTTTGAACAAGAGATGAAGAAGATCAATCCCAGTGTATCCTTACCATATTGGGACTATACGATTGATTACGAAATTCCCCAACCTTATGAGTCTATATTTTGGACGCCATGCTTCTTTGGAGAAAACAATGATACAGTCCAATCAGGGCCTTTCAAATTCATGTATGGAGCACATGGTGGCATAATCTCGAGACAATTGGCAAACGATTTCTACTCTACAAGACTGATTAACAAAAGAGACATAGAAAGGTTAAAAGACTTTTGTGGGTTTGAGGTAAGAATTATTCTATGACTTTTGGAACGAAATATTAGATATGGACAGTTAATAGTTACAACATTTATATACATGTATATATTCATTACCATATGTGTTGTCTAATATATAAGTAAGTATATTTTAGAATTGCAATTTTAAGCCTACCTATTCGTGTCTTAGTTGCAAAAATATATAATTCCGTGATGATTATTCAGTACGTAGTAAACGGAAAATATTTTTCTCTTTTAGGACATAACAACGGGTGTTCTTAAAGAAGAGACAGATCACAATCTTGAAACTCTACACGATGGCGTACATGACTACATTGGTGGAGATATGGGTGTTGTTGAAAACTCGGCATACGATCCGATATTTTGGTTTCATCATGCATTTATTGACTATATATGGGAGTCATTTAGGGAACATCAGACAGAAAGGTAATATAGTTGTCCTAATTTTATTTGATATTAGGTCACCTTGTGACGGTGTTTATGAAAATAAAAAAGACTACAGATCATTGTTGATTTGTGCTAAAACTAAATTAAATGAAGAAATAGCTTCATTTTGTAAGTGATTATTTAGCAGATTGCATTGATTGGAGTATTTAGATTACAAAACATTACTTTTCAAGTAACTATTTCGATCTACATTTTTGAAACTATTGCACTTTTTGCGGTTTTTATAATCGTCATAGTATTATTTTAGTTGTGGCCACATAGACATTGAAACAGATTACAGACCAATAAATGACATTGGATGGAAGGGCACTTTTGGACAAGGCCACGAAGATGCATTATTTGGTTACAAGCACTTGAATACAACAGATGGACTCTGGCGTAATTGGACACAAATGTATTATAAATATGAGCCCCAACCTGCCTGTGACGGTACATGCCGCGGAGAATTTCTTTACTGCGATGACAAAAAGATATGTTTATCTCGGACAAAAGAGGTTTGTAAGAAGGAATTCCCGACACGAAATAAACGTAGAGTAGACGTCACAGATACACTTTTACCACATAAGCCCTGTGGTGCGGGGTCAAAAATTATAGGCCTTAAAGGCGATGGAAGAACAATCAATACATCGAAAGAGGAATGTGAAAAGATTTTGGAAAGGGAAAGAAAGAGTAAGTCTTTACAATACCCGTCATTCTAAGTTTAACCTTTTACCCCATGAGCATATTGCGAAAAAATGGCCGTAACAAGTTCAAACTGCTATGAAACTATGAAAAATGCTTCAATACTGATGAAACTTGGCACAAATGTTGACTACACCATAGCCTCTGTAACAGCATGCTCAATTGTAAATTTCCTGTTACCATGGCAACGGGGGGACGTCTCAAAATTGGCAAAAATCACTATTTTGCATTGTTTTTTCCATCAAAACTGATTTCAAAGTGCTGCAACTTCTCAATGAATTGAGATAGAGTAAAAGGCTTTTCAGCGTCGGTTACTAGTTACCCTAAGATCGACCTGAGGCCATTTTTAGCCTGTCACATGTCCAAAATTTTCTTGGCGAGGGACTCCGCCCCCCCCCCCCTTCAAACCACCAAACAAATAATGGTAGCGAAATTTCAGAGCCTTATGTTGTTAATTGCAGATGCCTAAAGTAGTCCACTTTTTTGAAGCGGTTACCTCCCTTTATATAAAAAAAGTTAAAAACTAACGCCGAAAAATTCAGGGGAGATCAATGCGTAAAGATTGTAAAATGACAGGCGCATTAATTTTCAAGCAAAGTAGTTTCCGAATGGTCGAAAATTTCTAATATCGTTTCATTCTTTATAGATGTACATGCTTACAGTAAGCTCCATGATTATTTACACCTGTGTTAAACAACAGGTTTAGCGTCAAAATAATAAGAGTTACAAACCCTAATTTAGAATGATATGGTTTTCTTCAGGCCGCTAACACATAATTTCACCGTGGTCGAGGGGTTTGCACGCTCGCTTGTGAATCGAGAGGTCTGGAGTTCAAATCCGAATTGAGTAACTCATTTATTTTTTTAAGTCAAATAAACATTGAATTGACTATCAGTGTTGCAATTAGTCTTATAGCCAATTTACTACAGTTAAAACACTGGAAAGCATTGGTGGCACTATACAAAAACAAATTGGTTTATAATCTCACAACCTTCACCTTTCTGACATTCTGAGTCCCAAACAAAGTCAGCGCCTTCTTTGCTTTGATTTACTTATGTCTTGCCAGACTACTTTCTTCTAAACTCAGCCAATACAAACAATTTTAGGTGAAGTCTCTCACGGTGTAATGTCAAGAAAGAGAAATAAGTATATAATAAACAGAAAACCAAGTATTTTTCTTATAATTACAGGATTTATTTTCATCTTGTGGTATGAGAAATTACCATATTTCACTCGTGGGTATCGCCTTTCATAACCTATTTATTTTCATACCACTTGATGAAAATTAATCTCTATACATTTATATCTTTATATATCTACATTTATATATAGTATATTTCTAGAAAAAAAAAACTTGAATATGAATATCCTATATATATTGTTTGACACTTGACATTGTATTTTTCACTGCCATGGCAATTCATGTTCTAATATATTTGTTGTTTTGTTACATTCTCATAGTTGAAGAACCCAAACAGGAAGGAAGTAAAAATACATCTCCTGAAAATTTTGGATTTGTTACAATCGGATCGGTTGTTACTATGATTCTAGTTGCAGTGATATTTAGGTAATTTAAAAAAAGAAAGAGTTAACGAAAAGAAAGGGTAATTGAATTACCTTTGTCTTTTATAATGTTTTATATATAGAAGAACTTCTTGCATGTCAACCGGATAATTTCATTATACAAACAACTGAGGCAGACGGTTTTTTCGAAAACAAGTTAAATTATAAGTAACCTATCATAAAAGTTTAATTACCATGCTCTGGATTTATTGACTTTAGTGTTTTTTGGGTTTTTTTGCGATTTGTAAGCTGTAAATGATGTTTGGAATAAATTCTATTTGTTTGACATGAACATTTATAATTGTATGTACAGGTAGCAGAGCTATATTTACATAAACAGTAGTTTTTGTGCAATTCCTAAAACAGCGTTTTAATGTTTTCATGCAATTTCTTTATTTTTATTGTTATAAATACTTGAAACATTTTGTGTGAGTGCTACGTGTAGTTACAAATGTTTTTGTCAACGGCATTAGCAAAGTGTTTGCTAAGATTCGTGAATTATGGTAAATCCTGATCCATGAACATGTATGTCTTTAAATGCTTTTATTTTATGTATTCATTATTTTCATTATTGTAAATAGTTCTAATAAAGACTCTGCAAGTCTGGTGTCTGTTTTTTATGTAAAGAAACTCATAATTCAAAGCTTTTTATTAGAAAATTGAAAGGTGAATCTACCTTTGTCGCCATCACGGTATCGTATTGTCGCCATCGCGTTATCGCACTGTCGTCATCGCGTTATCGCACTGTCGCATTATCGTACTGTCGCCATAGCGTTATCGCACTGTCTCCATCGCACTATCGCATGACCGAGTGAGGAAATAAGAACGGCGAGTGCATTGTTGTGAAATATATCACGCTTCTGGTCTTCTTTTTTTACATAAGAGAAATCTCTGATAGTAAAAGAATATACGTTAAACTGGTCATCACTTTCTCGCATGACGTACAGTACGTTTAATCTGCTGACCATATACGAATATAGGAAGAAAATACGGCTTAAACCACTTAAACAATGTCTTTTATATTTTATTTGCTCAGCAGTGATTTTATTAGTTTGCGAGATGTAGAATCTGTTATATTTACTATCAAAACAATATGAGTAAGAAATTAACATTTGAGCATTTTCCACTGTAAGTGTAACTCGACAACATATTATACTATATGTTTAACCGGTCAGAAGATTCTGCTATACATGTGTATGTTTTACTGGTCAGCATTATTGCTGAGTACTATAAATCCACTGACCATACAGTAGATGAAGAAAATATGGCATAAACCACAAAGCAATTTCAAGATGCAATATTTACTAAAATTGCAAAATGAATTATTTCACGGCAAATATCATTTTTCTCTATACATCAACAGTTTCTCAGTGTTAAGCTAAAATCACTTTGGCTATACATGTATATAAAACAGGTGGACACAGAATCTAGTATATCTTAGCTGGCCAGCAATGTTTTTTTTTATTTAATCATATTTATCTACTATCTTTTAGAAATATAAATTCAAACTTTGCATGTTTTCTCCTCAGAAACAGAAAGTACTTTTCCGGAATAAATATAATGGACGTATAGCAAAATAGATGTGTTCTTCAATTAACATTGAAACACCTTGTCTCACGATGTCTACCAGTGCAATAAGTTGGTTATAGTAGAATATACTTACCAGTTAAACTTATAGTGAAATTGCTGACCACTTATATTAGTTATATAACGAAAATTATGTTTTGATGTAACATAATTTTTTTCTTATTTTTTAACAATGTTAGTAATATAACAACAAAATCTTACAAAACAATAAAACCACTGATGAGCAATAACAATTTAATATATATTATTTTTAAGTGATTTAAGCAGTATTCTCATAGTGACACCAGTGCTGATTTACATGTATAAATGAACTAGCTTTGTATTTGTCGAGAAAAAATATGTACTACTGACCAGTTAAATATAAGGGATCTTTTCATTTTGTATTTTACACAGACTGTTCCAATTTACATAATCATCATTATCATTTTCCATTTCAAAATTTTATTTTTGTATTATGATCTATGGATATAATTTGTTTGTCTTTTTGTATAAGTAATAAACATTTATTTTTTTACATTTTTGCATCTTTTAAATGTCAACATAACATCATTTTCATCTGAAATCTTTCCGCTATATTAAAGTTTTACACAATTTATTACATTTTCCGTGTATATAAAACTCTTTAAGTATTTCCCCATCTTTGAATATAAAATGTTACTTACTATTTTATAATTTATAATTTTATTTAAACGTTTTTGGTATACAGAAAAGAAAAATAAAAAAAAAAAATCTATATACAAAAGTTAACTTATTTTCCAATATTCTATATCGTCAGCTTATTCGTCATCATTTTAGAGCCGTCCAATCAGATACAAGTAAAAGTTATAGTATGTGAAACTAGTTGGTTGCGAGGCCACTGGCTAGGGCGACATCAAAGGATGTTTCTGATTAAAAAACATACCGAGATGTCGCCCAGTCAGTGTTATATCCCCGTAAAAAACGAGTTTCATATACCGCAATGTCGTAACAGAAATCAGGGAAATAAATGAATAAATAAATAAATAAATAAATCGTAAGCTTCCTTACAGCTATTTATAACTATGTAGTTGTTTAAAAAAAATCCAAGAAAAAAGAAAACAAGAAATAGATATACACCCTTGAAAATTTAAAGACATACAATGTTAAAGACGGATTGTAAAATTATTACCTTTATAGGATTTTTTTCAGTGGAAATGATTCGTTCAGCAGATGTACCTTTTGATTTTATGATAATAAATTTCATTTAATTAATTATCTTTATTTATATTTTTTCTGGGATGTTAGTTACCCCCATTGGAGTCTCTTTGACATAAAACCTACATAAGGTTATGTGCGAAAAAGAAACTCAACTCTTATATATTAGTTGAGTGTTTTTTTCCTATATGAATCAATGAAAAAACTACACTGCTATATATCAATACAGTTTTCAAATGCTCATTGAAAGTGTACAGAGTATAATTGTTAGAAAGAACAAAGAAAATGTTCGAAACCATGCGCTAAAAAAGGATTTGAGCATGTGTACCGGAAGGCGATAGTCGACAATGCGATAACGTGATGGCGACAATACGATAGTGCGATGACGACAGAGCGATAACGCGATGACGACAATTGCGAAAATGCGATGACAACAATGCGATAATGCTAGAGTGCGATAACGCGATGACGACAATGCAATATCGCGATGGCAACTGTACGATACCGCGATGGCGTTATCGCGATAGTTTTATCGCACCATAATACTGTCGTCTTCGCATTATCGCACTGACGTCATCGCATTTCGCCATTGCATTATCGCATTGTCACTATCACACTATCGCATTATCGTACTGTCGTCATCGCGTTATAGTCTTGTCGCCATCGCACTATCGCAATGTCGTCATCGCACTGTCGCCATCTGGATTATAAAGTATAACCATGATGGCCCTAACTGTATTCCGTATTTATCAGACTACAAGCGGAACACCTATACGATTATTCGTAATAATCTCGTTGAAAGTAGTTCCATGCAATTTCGAAAACCGAGGGTGTAATCTTTGTATAATGAGTAACAAATGTATTTTTTTACATCGAACGGAAAATAAAGTCAATTTACCTAAAATAAATTCAAAGATATGTCCGACAATCAGATCGATTAAAATGACTAATCACTGGCAACAATCTATAACGTAGGTAAACAATTTGTACTTTCGGTTTCTTAAAATATTTTAATAGTTTTAGTTAGTTTACAAAACATGTACGTTTTACTTGTGAATATCTTTAAATTTACTTAATATAAATCGACTTGTAAACGACATAATGAGTATAAACTAACTCAACAAAGTCCAATCTGTTTAAATTTTAAGTTTAAAGCGTAGGTTTGACCAAAGTACCGTATCCGAAATTATTTTTGTCCAATTGGATTGCAGTATTTTAAATGAATCGTAACACATTTACTTTGGTAAATCGGAAAACTGTTAATCAGTCAAGTAAATCGACTGTTTATAAAAATAATTTAAAACACTTAGCTGGTTAAAATTTATAAGTACATCTTTACAAAATTGAATTGAATTAAATTTTACAATTCCAACCTGCTTTAATGTTTAGTTTTTAGCGTAGGTTAAACTCGTTCTATGTATTTATACTATTGTCTTGATTGTGTTCGAATCCTTATCCGAACTTGACAGATGAATGAATAGTGGTGATAAAGAAAAATCTACTTGAACTATCTTTATTTTGTAAAAAGAAAAAAACATTATGTTAAAATTAAGATACTTTTGATAGTTCCCTCTGTCATCTGTCCCATTGTGAAATAGTATAGTATTAAATTCAGTCTTTACCTGCATGGTTGTTTTTATCTTTACTAAACTTTTATTGAAATTCAGTAGTTGAAATTGAACAATATGATCTCCTAATTTTGTCTATTAAGCTAGTCATAATTGTATCCTTTTATAATTATTTTTATGTGAAATTAGTTTATTTTGACCGTTATTTTCTGTTCAATTGTTTTTGCCTTGGTTTAATAAAAACTGAAACTTAAACTTATCCGAAGATTGACGGAAATGACCGAGAAGATGCGATTTCTTTGCGGCAACTGATCGATTGAATACACCCCTCTCGCTACCCAGCTCATGATCCTATCAAAGTAGCGTGTGTGATGCGTATGTTTGACTTTGGAAAATTGATTTTCAATTCTTTTATAAAAGAAATTCAGTATTTACAGTGAATTATCAGGTAAATATCTTTTACAATTATTATTTATTGTTGTTTTGATGGTGTAGGTAGGCAATGATCTTTATAAGTATTCCTGGTAGGTTTCGAAATTAAACTATTTTTATGAGATTATAGTAACATTTTGTTACGTTGATAAGTGATTATGCACGTGAAGCAGAATTAAGAAATTGAAAAATATGAAATTATATTGTTAACATGTACTTATACTATAAACATATACTCTTATAGATAGATATAATGTCACTTTAATATATTAGACCTGTAAAGACAATACGTTATACAGAATTAACAGATCGTCAAAGTCATAACATATATTACATTCATAATTTGAGTTTACAAATACATTTAGTCAAAAAACATCTTCTCATGCATGAATTATGCATGAATTTGCAAAATTTAATGCGTTCAATAAAATGTATGTGATCTTTATCATAAAAATTGTAACCGGAACTATATACATTTAATGATATAATTCAGTAATTATTCGCCCCCTCAATGTCGTCATATTAACAAATATAACTTTTCGCTACAAATTCAATATTGATCCGCGCCGAGTTGTTATACAAGAGGGCCAAGATGGCCCAAGATCGCTCAGCTGACCTATCGAACTCATCAGAACAAAAACTTAGACAAGCATTCTGAACAAGTTTCATGACAGGTGAGTCAAAAATGTGACCACTAGAGTGTTAACAAGTATTATCCATATTTGAGCAGTGTGACGTAGTTTTTTCCCCAGGTGACCCATATTCGAACTTTACCTAGAAATCATCAAAACAAACTTTCAGACCAATTTCCAGGATACTTGGATCAAAACAGTAGCCACTAGAGCACTAGTGTTAACAAGATTTTTCTATTTTTAGCTCCTGTTTCCTAGTTTTTCAAGTGAGATGACCCATAATCTAACTCATCCAAGCAATTACCTAGACAAGCATCCTGACAAGTTTGATGATAACTGAGTCAAAAATGTGACCACTAGAGTGTTAACAAGGTTTTTCCATATTTGGATGGTGTGACTTAGTTTTTCCATCAAGATAACCTATGTTCGAACTTGACCTAGAAATCATCAAAACAAACTTTCAGACTAATTTGCAGGATAATTGGATCAAAACAGTAGCCACTAAAGGGTTAACAAGATTTTTCTATTTTTAGCTCTTGTGACCTAGTTTTTCATCAGATATAGCCCATGTTCGATATCATCCGAGCGATTTACCTAGACAAGCATCCTGACAAAGTTTGATGACAATTGAGTCAAAAATATGACAATTAGAGTGTTAACAATGTTTTTCTATTTTAGCTCCTGTGACCTAGTTTTTTTATCCTAGATGACCGATGATATCTTTTGTTTATTTTTTAGCAACGGCCTTGTCAAAGACAATTATAAAATCGTATCCGTCATATCGATTCAAGTATTTTAGGTGAATGGCACATATACTGAAATTAATATAGTTACGAGTGAAACAATATTACACAGCAATTGTTAAATTGAGATCAAAGGTTAAGACATATCTTGAATAAACCATACTTTTTTTACGTGATTGTCTTATAAGAAGTTTATAGTTGTCAAGTTTGTTTGCTTTGGGTTTTACATCACACTGAAACAATAAGGGTCATATCGAGACGTTTCAGCTTTACTGGTGGAGGAAGACCTCAGGTGCCCTTCCGTGCATTATAAGAGTAGAAACACCGACGTTCCGTAAACTAGCTGGTTAGTTGTCATATATATACGATACAATACAATACAAAACTGAATGCTATTAGCAATAAAGTACAGAAATATGATACTAAACCTGAAGCAAAGCAAAATAACCGTGGCCGAGTGGTTAAGGTCGTTGAATTCAAACCACTTGCCCCTCAACGCTGTGGGTTCGAATCCCGACAGGGACTTTGGATTCTTTCATGTGAGGAAGCTATCCAGCTAGCTTACGGAACGTCGATGTTTCTACTCAGGTGCCCGTTCGTGCCTGAAATAATGCACGGAAGGGCACCTGAGGTCTTCCTCCACCAGTAAAGCTGGAACGTCGCGATATGACCTATACTGTGTCGATGTGACGTAAAACCCAAAAAACAAAAACAAACCATTTGCTTCAAACTGTTAACATACATGTTTCCTTATCCGTATTTATTGTATTCTGTTTTGTATTAATGTAATCTTTATGTTACATGTACATGTTTCAATCAATAAAATATGATTAAACCAATCAACAAAAACCATTTTGTATTTTTTCGTCAATTTAAGATTTGTGCCTTTGTGGTTTATTACTCTGAATACTTAATACTGATAAAAAAAGCCGGATAAAAGATTATGAAAAATTGACAAGGTAAAATTATTTTGACATTTTTATACCTACAGGGACATATTGTTTTCAGTAAATTCGTTGTCAATGTTTAACCCCTGGTAAAATAGAAACCAAGTAACGTTTAGAAAATTTCTAAACAATTATACAGCGTTAAATGATATGCCTGACAAGGACATCATTAAACTTTTATCTTTATCAATTTCACAGTTTATCTTTCATTAAAATTTCTTATATCTGTCATCAAAAGTATATATATATTTGTTGTTGTTTTATGTTGATTTTTGTTGTTGTTTTTTCAGTGGCCAGTCATGGTTTTCTATCTTGCACACCTGTCGGTTGCCCTTATTTTATGTAATTACACTCAAGCCTATCAGTTTATCGTAAATCTCCCTGACAGCGCACAAACTGAAATCGAGGAATGCATTCAAATGTCTAGAGTAAGTGAGAATTTTAGTTACAATAAATATCAATTTAATATACAATTTGAATTTGATATACTTTAATCATGAAAAAGAAAATGTTTTCTAAATACGATAAAATAATACTGAACTCATTGTTTTACAGTTCAAATTTAGTTTCTATTCCTTACTGGTGGTCTATTGTAATAATACTACATTTTACGTATCTTACATAAGAAAAGCATATGAGCTGGGAAATAAAATATATCACAGTTATTATTAACGAATGCTATGTGTTTTTTTATTATCATACACTGTTTTCTTTAATAATCTAATTATTAAACTATTATGCATAATACATTTATTTGCCATAACTGAATTAACAATTATACATTTTATGCGTTATTTATTCTTTACTTTAAAGAACTCACCGGTAATACCATGGCAAGCGGAATTGGCCTGTAGTCATGAGTATTTCGCTAATCTCGGTGCAAATAATCTTACAGAAGAAGATTGGGCAGTGTTCGAAACAGCGACCGAGGAAGGGTATTTGTCAAATATGTTTCACTATGTTTTATGCATATGAAATGAATGCACTAATTTGGTCATAACTTTATGGTATTTTGCTAGCTTCCCATATAAAATTATACGTAATTTTAAGTTCTTGTTTTATGGCATATCTTAAACAACTTTGCAAAAACAATTAACCTAAAACTTTGTGTTCACTTAACCCTAGGCTGCAAAATGTAAACAAAATATACATATTTTGATTTATGTGTCTGTAAATGATGTATGGTTTTGTCGAGATTAAAATATATATAAGTAATCATTAAAATACATATAGTGACGTAATGGTTTATGAGTAAAAATGCGATGGCTTCTATTTATATATTGTCTATACATCTTGAGACATCCAGAACATGACAGTGTTAACGTAGCTTTCTATCTTGTCAATAAAAGCAGCACGTTTCAAGTCTAAAAACGTTTTTAACATGTAAAAAAAATCAACAAAGGAACTGAGCCCTTACTGACATGGAAACGTTTGCTTTTCGTCTATGTCGCTTATAATTCTATTTGTTACAGGTATTTAAACTTAACAATTATCCATGTAATGAAAATATACTGCATTATGTTATTAAGTGCTTTGATTTTTCCTCGAACCTTTAATTTCAGTTTTGGCCACACTCCTCCATCATTTGGCATAAGTAAAAGGCGGGACATTCGCACATTATCTGATGAGGAATGGAAAAACGTGACAGATGTTTTTAGAGAGTTATACGAAGTAAGACGAGTTTCAAAACAAAATTTTATCATCTTTCATATGAAAACGTTATAAACGCATGTATAAATTGGTTAAAACCATTCTGCAAGTGTTGAATTATAATTTAAAAACGATGTGAATTGAATTAAGCAAAAAACTAGTTCAGAGATATTCAAGGCTCATCTTTAAATCAAATACCTTTATTGTAGAAATTTATTAAAATCTATCAAATTCTGACTGAATATGTCTAACTTGAATTATAGAATGCAAACATTGTGTATAATATCTGTATTCCCTATTATTATTCAAATGAAGTTGTCCATAATTTAAGACGACTGCCAGTTTTGTTTTTTAAATTACATTATGTATTCCTATTGTGTTCACCTGAAGTGTGTAGTGTTTAAAACGATATATACATATACTCTATTGGTACTTAAAACATGTTTATGTTCCCTTTACAAAGGAGCTGTGTAGCAATTATTAATATTGTCATACATCAAATTTGAAAATATACATCGTTAAGGCATCCAAACATATAGGCCGGTGTAGCGTTGTAAAGTGACCTCCATAGAATAATGACTCCCTTCTATAAAATAATGACCATCTTATATGTAAAATAATGACCCCCTATTTTATCTATAAAATATTGACCCTGCCTTAAATAATCTGTAAAGTCAAAGTCACATTATAATTGCGTTTACTTGTTGTTGTTGTTGTTGTTGTTGCTGTGTCTGTTGCTGCTTCTGGTACTGCTGCTGCTACTGCTCCGAAAACAGCTGACAAAACAAAGGTAAAATTCAGAGGTTCCGCTAAGAATAAACGAACATTTTATAAAAATGAAATTTAAAGTATTAAATCCAAATGCAAAGTCTCTAATCTGAAAGAGTGTTCTTTTTCAGTAAGAACATAGAGGATCGGTAAAGTATGTGTCCAAAGCCCAGAGCCAGCAATAATTTATTTTTTCTGTTTTTTTTCTTTATATTCCGACTTCTTTTAGGCAATTAACTATATATGCCATCATCTTTTTATAGATAAATGAGTATTTTGACTGAAAGAAATCAGTTCTTTATCATTTTATTTTTAGAACTTAAAGTAAGAAATACCGTGCATAGTAGGCAAACATTTATTTCCTAAATTTTCTACGAGCTGCACTCTTACACAATTATATATGCTAAGTGCGTAATAGCGCAGTGATATAGCGTTCGTTTTATAAATGTTCGGTTCCCGGAAAAATTGTTTAAACAAATTTAGTTGTTGTGTTTAGTTAATTTTCAATTAAATGAATGTTATATTTCATTAACATAGAGCTTATTGAGAACATGAAGCTTTACACTGATTTCTATTCAGCATAATTCAAGTCAGCTTAAGGAGATAAATGACTTATCATTAGTAATCAAAGAAATACAAATGTCTAGATACAAACTTACTACAATAGGCAAATTTATAATTTGTTTTACGTTTTGTTACTATTCAAAATGATTTGGAAATGAACTCATATTAATAATGCACTCAAAAGCAGGTTCGAAACTTATATAAGCTGATCGTTATAACCACTGTGCTTTCAGATTTACAATTATTCTATTTTATTGTAATAAAATACAGCTGAAATGACATTGAAACAACCAACTTTAAGACTTTAATATACTTCTACCGGATTTTGTGGGAACAGATCACGGCTAGTTTAAAAACAAATGACTTTTTATTTTGCAAAACAAATCCTGCTTAAAATATGATAAACAAGATCAACAAGGAAAGGCGACGTTCAATGAACGCAACCCCCACCCGACCCAGTAACAAAAGCCAGTGGCAAGGAGCCCGGGAGGATATTAATATCACTTTTAATAAAAGAAATGCCTCTATCATGTGATATAAGCTTCATAAACTGTTAATGTAACAGATGGTTCAATAAAAAATCAGATTCATACTTATATGTAGCGTACTTCCCCAATATTTATAACAATAATGGAGATCTATAAACAAAGTTTAAGCATTTTCGTCATTACATGGTTTGTAAAAACACCAAAAATTACTCACGTTTTATTAAGTTATGCCCATTCCTTTATTATATTAGGACATTAGTATTTTTTATTTGGGAATCATACATTACGCTTTTAAAGGAATGACATGGACGTGTCATATCAAGGGTTCCATATCATAACGGCTGTATGATCACATTTACGGGTGTTTCTAATTTCACAAATTCATCATTTCAATTCTAAATGTTGAATTTTGTTTTACCATTACCATTTATTACTCTATTTCATAACCTAATAATATGAACTTTGAAACCATTTATCATAAAAGTATTTGTACCGAAACAAAACAGAAATATGATAAAACAGCGGAATTTAAAAGTGAATATTCTGTTAGATTTTCTCTAATGTCAGGATAAAAAGCTTGAAACTAAATCGAATTTTAATATTTTATAAACACCCATACAAACTGAAACTACCTAATATAAATTTGAATGGTCATCATTAGTTTTCTGTATGATTTTCTGTCATTTAGAAAATTCTGGAGCGTTTGTGACACCGTGAAAATAAGTTTTTTTCTTGAAACATTTTTTGAAATAAAGAACATTGGCAGAATGCAGAGTTATAACATTACATCAGATTACGCCACTTCTGTTAGTTGTCAAAATATTTATGATCCGATCATCCTAGGGACTTTATTTGTCTAGGCCTTACTGATTTGATACTACAGAATGACTGCAAACTGGCATTAATTTAGTACATGTAAAAAACATGTTAACCAAAAGAATAAGATATTTGTTTATGGTCTGTCTCGCACTCGGTACTTGATGTTTAGAGTCAATACATGTGGTAGTTAGTTGCATACATAACCGCACGTGAGAGTTATAATAGTATCTTTTAATATTTTTGTAATTTTTTGTATTCTTTTATATTAGTTTTGAAGTTTCGGAAATTGAAATCTCGCCGAAATGCGCTAATTCGGACAGTGATTAAATCTGTGCTGTCTTTGTGGACTAAATCTATATATATTTTTAGATTTTCCCCAAGTGTTGTTGTTGTTGTTTTTGTTGTTTTTTGGGTTTGTTTTTTTTTGCGTGTGTGTGATATTTTATCGCAAGCACTTGTCTCTTTCTTGCAGACAGGAGTTCTTCAATCATTTGGCCGATTGCATGGGAAGGTGAAATTAAGAGCTCACAAGGGAGGTGCGTTTTTACCATGGCATCGTGTCTTCCTGGCTCAGTAAGTAATTTATTTAAAACTTAATTGTTATTAACATCCTTATCCAACACAACTTTTGATTTGCATGTGTGGTTCATTTAGGTCTGGATTTTAGATTTTTTTTCTTCAAAACTTTAGCTTCGAACAAGAGATGAAGAAGATAAATCCTAGTGTATCCTTGCCATATTGGGACTATACGATTGACATCGAAATCCTACAACCATATGAATCTGTGTTGTGGACGCAATGCTACTATGGAGAGAATAACGATATTGTCAAATCAGGTTCCTTCAACTTCATGTACGGCGCTCATGGTACTGTCATTGCAAGACAAATTGCGGAAAATTGCGACTCAACAAGGTTGATAACTAAAACAGACATAGACATTTTAAAAGGATTTTGTAGATTTGAGGTACGTGATTATTTACCTACGTTTGCAAATCCATAAGGAATGCTCATATTTATGGATACCCAGAAACTACCTTTGCATGTACTCAATAGTATTGCATCAAAAAGCCATACTAAGTATAAAAAACGACCCTCGATATAATTTAACAATATTCTCAGATTATAATTTACTGTTTTTCTTTCTGTTGCAGTTTAAAGGAAGACACTCAAGCGTCTTTGTCTTATAAATAGTTATAACAAGATTTTAAACATTTCACTCCCATTGTAAGGTTCTAAATCTGTTTATAAGAATTTGGTTTTTATACATTAATTTCCCTGAATAAGGAAAACATAAAAGCAGAGCAGTTGTAGGTTTCCAATCCACTTGCTCGGACTTGAAAATACTGTAAATTTTCGATATTTGAACATAATCTCGACATTATGGATATTCTTGCTTTCGAAAAGCATTTTAAGCATGGTCGTGTGTGCATGTTAGACATGTAATAGTCATGTGATAATATATGACCAAAGAAATCTTTAAATTTCTTCAAATCATTAACAATTCTTTAATTAAGGACATAACAACGGGTGCTGATACAGAAGAGACTGGGCACAATCTTGAAACTCTACACGATGGCGTACATGACTACATTGGTGGGGATATGGGTGTTGTTGAAAATTCAGCATACGATCCAATATTTTGGTTTCATCACGCATTTATTGACTATATATGGGAGTCATACAGGGAACATCAGACGGCGAAGTAATATATCTTAAATTAACAGACATGACTTAAAATTGTAACAATGTGCATTTCATTTTCGATTTGTATTAAGAAATAATTATTCATTAAAAGTAAGGCGACTTTGACATTGGTCATTTAGCAGATTGAATAAATATTAATATGTAAACTAGAAATGTGTCCAAAGGACACGGGTGCCCCCACCGCGCTACTGTTCTGTCAATCTTTTTACTAAGTCAAGGGAAATAACTCTACAAATACTGGATAAATCCACAAGCGAAACCCCAGGTGCACATCTAAATATGCTGAGCAATCTGCCCATAAGGTTCAATGACTATGTCAAATCCTTTTTGAGTAACTTGCGACACAAGTTGAAAATTGCAAAAAAATTTCTAAGTGAAGGGCAATAACTCTAAAAATACTAAATAAATCCAGACAAAAATACCTGGTGCACAACTGCACATGCTGATCAATATTCTTGTAAAGTTACATGACTCAAGGTCAAATACTTGAGTTACGTGCGACACATTTTGAAAATTGCAAAATTTTACTAAGTCAAGGGCAATAACTCTGAAAATACTAAAAATATCCAGACGAAAATACCCAGGTGCACAACTACACATGCTGATCAACATTCCTGTAAAGTTTCATGACTCTAGGTCAAATACTTTTTGAGTTACATGCGACACAAGTTGAAAATTGCAAAAAAAATTTTAAGTCAAAGGCAATAACTCTGAAAATACTAAAAATATCCAGACAAAATACCCAGGTGCACAACTACACATGCTGATCAACATTCCTGTAAGGTTTCACGACTCTAGATCAAATACTTTTTGAGTTACATGCGACACAAGTTGAAAATTGCAAAATTTTACTAAGTCAAGGGCAATAACTCTGAAAATACTAAAAATATCCAGACGAAAATACCCAGGTGCACAACAACACATGCTGATCAACATTCCTGTAAAGTTTCATGACTCTAGGTCAAATACTTTTTGAGTTACATGCGACACAAGTTGAAAATTGCAAAATTTTACTAAGTCAAGGGCAATGACTCTGAAAATACTAAAAATATCCAGACGAAAATACCCAGGTGCACAACTACACATGCTGGTCAACATTCCTGTAAAGTTTCATGACTCTAGGTCAAATACTTTTTGAGCTACGTGCGACACAAAAGTGAACGGACGGACGAAAGGACGGACGGACAAGGGTAAATCTAAATGCCTGCCACTAACGTGGGGGCACGACAATAAAATATGTTAAAGAAATTATTTCGATTTGCATTGTCAAAATCATCGTTTTGAATAACTTTATTCGGAACGGGATTGATAAAACACGTGTTAGATAAATGCATTTTGTTATAATCAAATAAGGTCTTTTATTTCAAGCTATTTTTTATATGTTTAGCTGTGGCGAGATAGACATTGAGTCCGATTACCGGAGAGAGAATGATACTGGCCGGGAGGGTACCATAGAGCAAGGCTACAATGACACCTTATTTGGTTATCGCCACTTGAAGATTAAAGATGGACTTTGGCGAAACTGGACAGAGGTATTTTTTAACTATGAGACCCAACCTGCCTGTGGTGGAACATGCACCGGAGAGTACCTTTACTGCGATAACGAAAACCGCTGTTTATCTCGTACAAAAAATGCATGTAAGGAGGAAATCTCGACACGAAAAAAACGCGAATTACTTGTACCACAAATTTCCTGTGTGTCTGGAACGAAATTTAGAGGCCTTAGAGGTGACGGAAGAACAATAGACACGTCTAAAGAAGAAAGTAAAAATATTTTGAAAAAGTTAAGACAGGGTGAGTACATCATATTATCTGCAGTTATTCTACTTTTTTAAGTTTAAACCTATTTAACTTCCAAATTTCCCATAGACAAAAATATAAATAAAAGTGTTTACTAAATTTATGCGTGTATATATTTATTATACAATCAAATGTTAAAGAGGCCTTCAGCTTTTATTTTTGTTGTGAAAAAAAGCAATCCTGTATTTAAAACCCTCTTCAAAACAGCATCCCGAGAGATATTTAAAGGGCGCCGATGACGTTCATTTCTAAAAACAGAAGATCGATAAAATCGTCCCCTTTACTAATTTACATATAGAGGGAACTTGGGTGGATTAGGGGTATCGAGAATGTTTCCGTTTTATGTAATTTATGGCAAATTTCATTTAAATTTATCCTTTTGATTTGACAATTAAATGAAACGATTTATCTGAAAATAACATATTTTTTTCTAGAAAAACTGATGACCGCTTTAAAGATTTTTTCAATAAAGAAGTGACACAAGGTCAAAATAACGTCTTTTTATTATCATAATGCAAAATGTTTATGTAACTTCAATATATTCATATATTTGTGTTTTTGTTCAGCTTTCATATCAGAAAAGCCCGAAACTGAAGAAGATAGAGATCCTTCACTTGAGAGATTTGGATTTGTTGTAATCGGAATATGTGTTGGCGTGGCATGTACTATTGCAGTTTTCCTGATTGTCAGACTATGGAGAAATAGAAACAAGTAAACATTGAAAACAAGAATACACGCTTTCATCTTTAAACACCGTTTTATATAAAATACCTTTTAAAATTGTCATATGTTTTTTCGGATATTTTTATTTCATATTTGTTTATTTAACCTACTAAGGCAAATGTTATTGTTTTTAATCGGAGCTACCAATCATATGAGTTTCATTTTGCAGCTTTTTTTTGCAATTTTTTATTGGCTACTAATTGCTTTTTATATTTAGGCTTTTCGTAATTGTAAATAGATGTTAACCAAGATTATATTATGCAAGACTGTGTCTGATTTGTTGTAATCATTAATGATACACATATCTAAGTAACTAAAAGTTTTAAACTGTGAAAAGGATAATACCTTATACAATAAGTAAACACCCGAATATTTTTTTTTTGGAACACATTCGGATAATTATATTGTTTAATCTCTCATCTTAATCATACCTCCAAATCACCAATATGTTGTCAAAATTAAAACAAAGTCAGCAGTAAAAATATCCTATAAGATTCAGGATAGAATGGTGATTGATTGATGAATAATGTTTTGCTTTATACAGTAATGTGATGGATTATATAAGACCTCAATGCTACAAACCTCAAGATTAGGCAAAATATTTCAAGAGAGGCAAAATATTTCAAGAGAATCAAATTTGATTGACTCCATTGTTTTTAGCTATTTGCATCATTTCCCCCGCTTTTTTATTCACACATTTTATAGTAACATGATATTCTTATTGTAAACAAAGGGCATTTCAGTAAACATGTGCCTGATTATATGTTGAAAGGGTCATTTATTTAGCTTATCTAAATAACTTGACCAGGTGTAGACTTCATGTGTTTGTGCTATATCACTATTTTGTGAAGACTACGAAAGGGCAGGGCTATCGGCGACAATGTGAAATGCCTTGTTTTTGGTTGAAAATTAAATAGGTTAATGTTTAACTATACGCATTAACAAAAATAATTGGTCCCGTGCCTGCGCCACGGTTGACCAATTATTTTTGTTTATACATGTACGTTTTATAATACTTTTATTAAACACTAACCTAACTGATGTAAAATCCCTTCCAAAACTTGACATTTTACATGTACATAGGGTTTAATATACACACAGCAACTGAGATAAAAATAGATTTTTTTCATTGAAATGAAATATGATACAGTTCAGTGAATCGATATAGGAAAACATTAACTCGTTGTAAAAGAAATATCTACAGTGAAACTGTACGATTATTATGACACGCAGTAAGGGTTATTTCGTATATTTTCTACCTATTTATGGTAATTTACGTGGGTTTTAAGTGTCGTTTGCAGAGTGTTTATTACTTTCTTACTCATTTCACGTTATTTTACTTTTGAATACATTTTCAAAATTTCATGAAAATCAGCATGAATCTGCGTGGAGACATAGTGTTTTAAGAAGTCATAATTATCTATGCAACCAAGACACGCATGGTTGGATGAACCTCGATATATACAAACGTATAATTTTTTGTTCGCGAGTTTGCTGAGGCGTAGCTTGCTAAAACTTCATACAATGTACGTATATGAAAGCTTGCTCATATCACAAATTTTGCCCATAAGACTTTCAGGGCCTATTAAGTATGTTCAGTTAAAATTGGTGACATTAAATATTGTTATACTTGCGATTTATTTTCTTCTTATTATGCTTATTGAATACTTCATTGTCTTTCGATATATATATAAAATATACATATCCTTTCTTAATAAAGCCGCTTTATAAATGGAATTTTTATTTTTTATATTTCTCTTGGCAAAAGAAGGCCGTTTCTCCTGATATTTTTGACACTACGCTATTTACTGTTCTGAAGCCTGTGAATAATTAATAGCACCACTATATATGTAGATATATTTCACAGAATAATGATTGATATTCGCAACGAAATACATAAGTCACGTAGAGTATACTTAATATGTGTTCGTGGTTTGCTCTTGTGCCGTCCTGTTTTCTTAAATGTTCTGCTGGGCTCCTTAACAGTGGTCCTGTGTTGTCGGTTTTTGTTGGGGATCCGTTTTTGGAATCTCACCCTTGTAGATTTTTGTGTTCATATTTTATGGATATAAATTTTTAAGGTAGGATAATACAACAGAAAAGAAACTGTTGCAGGCTCTGTTTCATTGAAACTCATGAAAAATGCAATATGTTGAATCGAGTCCAATGCATTGAACAATAACATGTACGGTTCACTTCAGCAGTCTTGGAGAACAGTCATTATGGGCGAACTATGGTGACACTGGAATTTACCGGAGATATCTTGTCTTGTTGGAGGGGGGGGGGGGTTTAAGTGTGTTTAAAGAGTCTACCGAAAAGCTGAGAAGAAATAACAGTGAAGAATTTTAGGTAGGACATGAACTGGAAAATGCAATGCAGTCCTAAACTTTTCTATAACAAGAAAGTATGTACACGTACCAGAGCAGAATTCAACATTACTGTACAAAAACTGTTGATGTTAATAAAAAAATTGTTGAATTGGGAATCTTTAAATTGGGAATCTTAAAAGTCGACACATACGTTTTTAACACGTTGCGGCTTTGATCCGATGCAATCTGTTGATGGTTGCAAGCTATTGTTCATGTTTTTTTGCCTGAGACTTGCGACAGTATAGATCAAAGTTTTAGTTTATTGTTCGTCTAACTTTCGATAAAGTCCGACAAACTACTTCGAATATATCGACCGGGAATGTTTTTGTGGTACGCATATGCTTCAGAACATTAACCCTTAAATGTTATAAGACATTGTCTGAAGTTAGTAAATGATTGTATGTTGTAATATGGTATTAAGAGTCAGCGTAATCATGTAATCATGAATAATTAAAAAAACATAATAATTTTACAAATAGTACAATAGAGAAAAATAAAATCCCTAAAGAAACCGCAACACGGCAATATTGAAAACATTTTACAATTTTGCCGTGTTGGGCTATCTTTAGGGATTCTGTTTTTCTCTATTTTATTTCATTGAGCATGTTTATGGACGGTACTGGAAAGTGCAAGTTACTGTCCATGCGTGTTGCTCAAACGAGAAGACAATGCCATAGGACCTAATCGTATATCAAATGGTAATCTAAAATCACTGCCTACACAAACTTCTCTTGACCATAGTGAACGGAGCGTGACTTCGAGGTGGGGGATGCCTTCATTGAACACCGTCTCTCCTTGATTTTGTTTATCATTTTCTTTTCGAATTGGATGCTTTTAAAAATACGCCAACTGTTGTGTTTTCGTCATTTAAAAGAAAGCAAATACAACCAAACTTACCAAATGATAACCACTGTATGACCACACATGTGGTTGTTTCTAAATTCAGATACCATTTTCATGTCAACATGTTGGAATTTGTTTAAGGTGGTGCAAGGGGGGCATAGACTGTTGCCTATAAATCCCACTACCACCCATAATCACTAGAAATCAAGTAGAGAAAATAAGAATCCCGAAAAAGGCCCAAAACGGCAAAATTGAAACTGTTGCAGGCTCGGTTTGATTGAGCCTGTTCGTGGACGGTACTGTCAAATGCAAACTACCGTCCACGCCCATTAGCACCAGCTTAAACAGAATTCAACATTTAAACACAAAATAGTAAAATTTTGAATTTAGAAACACCCGCAGATGTGTTCATACGCCCGTTATCATGGAACCTTCAATGTGACACTTTCGTGCCATTCCATGAAAAGCGGTGTATGGTCCCCAAGTAATAGAAAGCGTATGTTCTCAAATAGAAAACAATTGGCGGAACAAAACAAAATGGAATTTTGAAAGGGGGTCAGAGGTTATGAAGCCTGCACATCACAGATAAGATTTCAAAAGACTAAATTAAAAAGCAAGCAACATTTCGTTAGGGTGATTCACCATTTAAGTAGAAATATTGGAACCACCCAACTTGAAAAAGGCCAAATAGTGTTAACTTAAAATACAACAAACACAACAATTATGTCGAGCTAAATGATCTTTAAGCATCGGAAATATAACATCTCTGATTGAAGGTACGGGGCGACTTATTACAGCCTCCACACGGCAAACAACGGTGATGTGTCGATAAAATAGAGAAAAAGAACCCCTCAAGAAAGCGTAAAACGCCAAAATTATAAATAGTTCAGACTTTGTTTGATTGAGCTTGTTCATGAGCGGTACTCTCAAACCGAGTCAGCATTATTGTCAATTTTGTAGTTTTATGCCACTGCTTCTTGTTGATCTTGTTTATCATATTTCATGTGTTTGTAGGGATATTGTTATCACAAATTCAGACGTTTAATTCAATTTTAAATGCTTCACATTGTCCTCTTTAGTATGTACCTTTGTATAACTGGTAAAAGCCGACCCAAGTACGTTTTCATGCAGAAAATACAGATCTTTCATACCAGTAGAAGGACGAAATTTATTGATTCTTTTCTTGACACGACATCTCTATAATGTTTGGATGTGACAAAACGGCCTATAGATACAGGAATTTGACAACAGTTCCACGGATATCATAGAATATAACGTACATAACTTTCTTGACACTTGCCAATCGCTTGGCAGCCAATCGCTTGGCAATGCATAGTCAACGAGCATTCCTGATGGCCCAAATCTTTTTGTTACACTTGCAAACTGACGTAAAATGGTGAGGCCAGAGAATGAAGGCCAATAAGGCATAAGCAACGTTCACAGGACGTAGTCATAACATAAAAAAAGACGACTGCTATATCAAGAAAATATTTTCAGTATTTTTCGAGCGCATTTAACATGCTTCTTCTTTTGGTCGGATGATAGAAAATGGGATATCCATTTGGCAGTTTTTTGCCTAAATTTCAAGAATTGTATAATATATGATAAACAAGATCATCAAGGAAAGGCGGCGTTCAATGAACGCAACCCCCACACTACCCAGCAACAAGGACCAGCGGTAAGGACCCCCAGGAGGACCCTTAACAAAAACAAGACCGGGGCACAAGGCACTGTACGGACAGGATAATACATGAAAGGAAATAATAGTAAACCGACAAGGAAATCAACTACAATTGATTAATAGGCCAACAAAGTAAAAGGGTACAGGGGAATGGGGCTTGAAGTTGCCCCTATCTCTGCGATATAGGTTATCTGGGTTAATGAAAGTGTGGCATCTTTGTGACGTTAAGCTTGATTTTATGAATGTTTTGTCAGTAGCTATAGAGCATTTTCTGCCAGACTTACAGGCATCTTTAATTGACTAATTACCAATTTTGAATTTATGTATCCACCTCGAAAACGATGCATAGGATACTCCATATTATTATAAACATTCACGAGCATAGATTTTCCTAGTTTTGTTCGATCCGTATTTAAGCCCTTTTAACTGAGTGTTTATTAGCCATATTTTGCATGAAATATGATAAACAAGATCGAGGGAATGCGGCGTTCAATGAACACAACCCACTAACGACCCAGCAACAAGAACCAGCGGCAAGGAACCCTGGAGGACCCAAAACAAAAATAGGACAAGGCGCAAGGCAGAGCTAGGACTGAATAGTCAAAGAAATGAATAATAATGATGCTATAAAAATCTTACTAGGTTGACAACACACATGATTTTAAAATCATTTGAAAGCAGAAGCTTTGATCATAGCATAGACACAAGAATTACGAATTAAATTATGAAATATACTTCATATGGCATTACATATTGACTCACGCTCGTATTAGCGAAAGAATATCATTAAATAATATATACAAGAAAATATATCTCAATCAAAATAATTAGTCTGTATTTTATTTTACCATAATTGGGATAGAAAAAAAATGTGATGGCAGCGGTCTGTGTAGCGAAGCAAAGGGGAAACCACTGTGTAGGACTTTTAATAAACTCTTTAATGGAATACTATGTAGAAATTGGTGATTATAAATTCATGTTAAGTGGTTAAATACTTTTTTGTTGTTGTTGTTTGTGTGTGTGCATGTGCTAAACGTAAAATCATTAATTCAAAAAGTAGAGATTTCAAGGCTAGGATATGATTTGGAAATATTTTATTCAAGAAATGTCCAATATCATAAAATCACTCCATGATTCGACATATAAGTGCAATACTATTACTTGAGCATAGATGACTTACAACAGAGCCTGCAACATTTTCAATTTTGACGTTTTGGACTTTTTTTTTCTTTAGGGATTCTCATTTTCTCTATTTTATCGTCACATTAGCGTTGTTTTGTGCCGTGTGGAGGCCATAGAAAAAAATTCTGGAAACAAAGAATTCCCTCGGAAGCATTAATTACAACAAAACAACATAAGAATTGCAGACTCGGTTTGATTGAGTCTGTAAATGAGGGATAATGGATAAGTGAAAGTCGCCCCGTACATTCCATCAGAGATGTTATATTTGCGATGCTTAAAGATCGTTCAGCACGATTACTGATGCATTTGTGGTATTCTTAGTTCTGACTATTTGACCTTTTCTAGTTGGGTGGTTCCAATAATTCTAATTGAATAATGGTGAATCACCCTTAGCATATGCTGCCTGCTTTTTAACTTTGACGCTAAGGGGGCCTGAGGGATGTTGCACATATCCATTATCCCTCATATACAGACTCAATCAAACCGAGTCTGCAATTATTTTGTAATTTTGATGTGATTAATGCTTCCGAGGGATCACTTTGTTTCCAGAATTTTTATACTTCACAACAGCAGGTGTCAAGTGCTGTGTGGCAGCTGTAAATAGTTGCCCTGTACTTCACTTCAGTGTTGTTATGTTTTCTGGTCCTTCGGGATCATTGATGCCAGCACTATTAAGTGTTGAGAATTGAGTACCGCTCAAGTCGGTGCTAGGGGGCGTGAGGGATGTTGCACATATCCATTATCCCTCATGTACAGACTCAATCAAACCGAGTCTGCAATTTTCTTGCAATTTTGTTGTGATTAATACTTCCGAGGGATCACTTTTTTCCAGATTTTTTTTTATTTTCCTGATCAGTTACTATTTATTTATGATTTTAGTAGTTAGCCTGCCCATGCTCTCTGCCTTGTGCCCTGTCCTGTTTTTGTTTGGGGTCCTCCTGGGCTCCTTGCCACTGACTTTTGTAACTGGGTCGGGTGGGGTTGCGTTCATTGAACGCCGCCTTTCCTTGTCGATCTTGTTTATCATATTTTAGCTGTTTGCGTAGCCTCATTATTTTAACAGTTGTGACTGAAACTATCACACACACCAGACTTCCGATTAAAACATATATAAAACGTTCAAGAGCTGTACATGAATATTTGGTTTTTCCTTGTTTAAGGCCTCCGTGTAAGGTCCCTAAAATGAAAAATATTACATTTATCATTGAAAGTGATTTTGCGTTTCGTTTACTCATTGTACTTAATGCCTTGGAGCGAGAATAAGAAATGATATTGTAAAATAGATAAAAACAGAATCAAAGTTTTTATGTAAGTAAAATAGATAAATACAGAATCCCTAAGTCAAAGTTATATTAGATAGCATCAAATGTTTTACCTTTTGAAGAATGAAGCAATTAATTGAAATGACAAACTATTTTACTTACCCTCCCTTTCATTTTCCAAAATATTTTCACATTCAGCTTTTGATGTTTCCATTGTTCTTCCATTACCTTTCAAACCACTCAGTGGTGTTCCTGATTCACAAGGGGTTAGTGGAACAAGTGGATCTCTGGCCCCACACTTCACGTGCATTTCTTGTTTGTAGATGCTTCTGATATGCTTCATTTGTACGAGATAAACATCACAGTAAAAGTAATCTCTATTACATGCTCGTCCACGAGCAGGTTGGGGCTCATAAGGACAAAAGACATATGTCCAATTTCGCCATAGCCAATCTTAAGTTTTCAAATGGCAATAACCAAACATTGAGTCTCCGGGGCCTTGTTTGATGTTTACCCAGTCAGTATCGTTTATTGGACTGTTATCGGACTCAATGTCTATATCGGTACATCTTAAATACAAAAATAAGGAATTGGTGCCAGCACTATTAAGTATTTAGAATTGAGTTCTGTTCAAGCCGGTGCTACGGGGCAGAGGGATGTTGCACTTATCTACAGACTTAATCAAATCGAGTCTGCAATTTTGATGTAATTGTGTTGTGAGGATCACTTTGATTCTAGATATTTAGAAAGGGAAATATCCAACAACAGAAGATACAGAAAAAAATGAATAGCAAATGTTGAATCATTTTGCGTCCCTTCCTGGGATAAGCAAACAAGTGTAATATCACTCTTGACTTGTAGCACCGACTTAAGCAATATTCAATACCTAAAATATCAACTGTAGTGAGCATAACAAACCTGATAGATAACAAAACTGGTAAAGATTTCTTAGGTAGATTTATTTAAATTTTTTGCTATTTCTGTAGATTTATTTAAAATTTCTGCTATTTGATTTTTTTTAAATTATTTTCATTACTATTCTGTTGACTGTTCTGTGCCCCATTACTGCCTTTTGTCTTTTCAGTTTCAAAATTTTTATTTCCATTTATTTATATATTCATATTTTGGACAAAACTAAGTTTCCTGTGGATTTTACAGTTCTTTATATGTACTATGTAACAATTCATCATGATACATTGTAACCTTTATCAAAATATCATAGTTAATGTTAAAATGACAATTTAATACCAGTGCGACAAAGGCGACGAAATCACCTTAAAACATTACATTTTAAATGATGTTTCGTGTTTATTCTCAATTTAATAATTATCTTGATAGAACGTGTGAAAATCGAGCATACGTTTCTATTTAGGTGATTTTTGCGAGATCTTTTGCCTGCTTTTTAAATTTGTCTTTTGACGTCTTATCTGTGATACGCAGGCTTCATAACCTCTGATCCCCTTTCAAAATTCCATTTTATTTAGTTCCGCCCATTGTTTTCTCGTTTAGGGCACACGCTTTTTATTACTTGGGGACCATACGCCGCTTTTCATGGAATGGCACTTCTGTGTCACATTGAAGGTTCCATGATAACCGCCGTATGAACACATCTGCGGATGTTTCTAAATTCAAAATTTTACTATTTCACGTATAAATGTTGAATTTTGCTTAAGCTGGTGCTAGGGGGCGTGGACGGTAACTTGCATTTTCCAGTACCGTCCATGAACAGGCTCAATCAAACCGAGCCTGCAACATTTTCAATTTTGCCGTGTTGGGCTTTCTTTAGGGATTCTGTATTTATCTATTCTAGTATTCATTGTTTGAAAAACAAATATTCTGACTTACAACACATGTTTTTTTATAAAATTTAGACGAAAAAACGATTTCCCATTTTCAACATTGTTTACTTTCCTTGCCAAAAGTGGCGGCCATTTTGTGGATCAATATTCTATATAATATAATTCACAATTTTGGTAAATTGTCAAATGAAAGAAAATAAATGTTTTATAGTACCAACAGGCAATAGATTTTTCCGTTTTCATGAAGATGATAAATTATGAGCGATGTTTGTCTTATTAGTGTCTTATGTATATGTTAGTGTTCATCCGTGCTGTTCTACAGAAATTAAACTTTGATAAATGTGATAGCGACAGAAGTCTGTAGAATAGCTATGGATGAATACTAACATAGTTACTGTTTTACTGTCAAGCTTTATTTGTCCTTTATAACGTCATGACTATTTTAACGAACGCGGTTCTATGAAATAGAGAAAAAAGAATCCCCAAAGAAAGCCCAACACGAAGTTTTATGAACTATGAACGGAATATGATATAGTATCGAATTGTTTTCTTTTATGAAAATAAAGACAGCATTTTAAAGAAATACAGCGTTTTCATTGTATGGCAAATAATGTTGGACACTAAAATGAATTATAATATTGGGAATGATTCACAAAATGGCGGCCAGGAATTCTTGGTGAAAAATCTCTTTATGACTTTTTGATGCAACAAAACGAAACATTTAGAGTTCTTTTTCGTTTTCAGAGTGTATAATATATTACTTCGCCTTCTGATGTTCCTAAATGACTCCCATATATAGTCAATAAATGCATGATGAAACCAAAATATCGGATCGTATGCCGAGATATCAACAACACCCATATCTCCACTAATGAAGTCATGTACGCTATCATGTAGAGATTCAAGATTATGATCTGTCTCTTCTTTAACAGCACCCGTTGTAATGTCCTAAGATATAGAAAAACTTTACGTAGACTGCTGAATAATCATCGTAAAATGATATCCGTTCGTGAAAAAGACGTTAAGATAAAAGCTAAGTATTGAAACTCTAAAATGCAAGTACTTGCTTTAGCATTATATGTAGTGACACATATGATGATGAATATAAATAAAAGTTATAATTATTAACCTTCTTTATCTAATGTTTGTTTGTTTGTTTCATTTTACGCCTTTTCCCAACAGTATTTCAGTCATATAGGCGGGTAGTTTCCTAACCATTGTTCCTGAAGAGTTACACCAGTACTAGACAAGCTTCCTCTGCGCTAAACTACCAATGCATCTCCCGGGGATCGAACCCACGCCAGAGATGTTATTGGATAAGAAGTCATCGACTCTAACCCCTCGACCACGGTGGCGGTATTCTTTATCTAATAATTCGTTCCGAAAGTCATAGAATAAGTGTTGGTATACCTTATATCTACAAAAGTATTTTAACTTTTCTATGTCTGCTTTGTTAATCAGCCTTGTAGAGTAGAAATTTTCCGCCAGCCGTCTTGAAATAATAGCACCATGTGCTCCATACATGAATTTGAAAGGCCCTGATGTGACTGTATCACTGTTTTCTCCAAAGAAGCATCGCGTCCACAAGACAGACTCATAGAGTTGGAGAATTTCGTAATCAGTCGTATAGTTCCAATATGGTAAGGATACAATAGGATTAATCTTTTTCATCTATTGCTCGAAGTTAAGATATTGTCAAAATATGCAAACATCATGAAATTTGGTTGTAATATACCTTAGATTAATGGGTTTTTAATATTTTTGTCTTAAGAAATGCATCCGTACGTATTGTTGATTTAGATATTTCATAAGTTATTGAATTGAAAGAAATCGTTTATACCACTTACTTGCCTGAAGTTCAGTTGGTCTTCATAATGCAATATAACAATTTAAAAGTATCATTATACAAATTTTAGTACTTGTAGTTTAATAAAGAAGAATAAAAAGCAGTCGACCACTCACTGAGCAAAAAAAAAAACCCGATGTCATGGTAAAAACGCACCTCCCTTGTGAGCTCTTAACTTAGCTTTTCGCTGCATACGTGCAAATGATTGAAGAACTCCTGTCTGCAAGTAAGAGATAGTAAATAAAAAATGTTCAAAATAACACGGTGAAATATAATCCAAAAACGCGTTTTTGGTCCATATAAATGATACCAATACTAATTCAAAAGCCGTTCATATCTATATCTTATTAAAATAACCATCACGGTTTATGCTGAACTTTGAGATAAAATATAGTATCACAAGCTTTGTGATGGACATTGTGCACCGTTACATACAGACAGACAGACTGTAGATGGATGGATGGATGGATGGATGGATGGATGGATGGATAGATTGCGAACATGATGTTAGTGAATTTCCTCATACCTGCCTAAAAACCGGGTAAAATAGTCTTCTGTTATATTGATAAATACTGTTTCACCATGTAACTCGTGTATAACAAACAAAAATTCCTGAATTTGATCTTTTTGGAATTCATCTCAATTTTTTTCATTCCAGAGTTTGTTCTACTTTCAGTATTGAAAGAAACCTTTTTATCTTAATTTGACATGAAAAAAAAATGCATGTAATATAACTATTTTATAATATTAGTCCCTTTTGTTACTATTTGTATATTTGTTGCAATAATAATAATAATAAACAGACTTTAATATTTTTATCATCTCATGTTACTGACTACAGAAGAACACAGTACAGTCTTGTCACATTACATTTATAAGTCTTTTAAGTCTTTAGACTTAATCAAACCGAGTCTGCAATTCTTATGTAATTTTGTTGTGATTAATGCTTCCGAGGAATCACTTTGTTTCCAGAATTTTGTTTGTATTCAATGTAATTACTTTCCTAACCAGGTAGGCATCAGCGAGAGCATTTTTTTTAATTAAATATCTGGCCCCTCCTTTTAATTATGGACAGTGCATAAAATAAGTATAATTATCCAAAGAATGGTTTACAAAACATTTGAAAAAAATCCACAATAGTACTTAATCTGAATAGAAAATGACCTGTGTGTAGAAATAATTTGGTAAGGTATCTATAATGAGCGCATTTTTGCGCGGAGCTTCTCGATTGCTGCATTGCAGCAACATTTGTACTTGTATTACATAAGACCTTCAAAAGCACTTTTAGTTTAATGTAAAAATATCAACCAAGGCAACTTGAGTTGTTGAGTTATTGGTCAGAAACCGTCTTTAAGTACAAGGACAATATGACACTGGCCCCTTGACCCCAAAATCAATAGGGGTCATTTACAAGTCATGACCAATCGTCATATAAAGTTTGAAGTTCCTATGCCTAAGCCTTCTTTAGTTATTGTGCGGAAACTGTTTTTACCGACAAGGTCAATATTACCTTGACATTTGACCCCTTGACCCCAAAATCAATAGGGTTATCTGCTGGTCATGAACAATTATCATACCAAGTTTGAAGTTCCTAGGCCTTAGAGTCCCTTAGGTATTGAGTGGAAACCGTTTTTTAACTTCAAGTCAATGTGACCTTGACCTTTGACCGATTGACCCCGAAATCAATTAACTGATATATTACATTAACACGGTGTTTGGTGTCCAGACGGCCCTCAAATGAAATCCAT